ACACGGGCATCTTTGATGGCACCACTGAGATGTCTTGGTGCAAGGTTACGTGGAAGGCGTCGTGACTGTTATTTCGCCGGAGGCTTTTTGATGGAAGTTGTGAGAGAGTTTAAATGACCGTAATTTGTGAGTCTGCCTGGTCCTTGTCATATCTACTGCAGTGGACACTGTTCTGAGCCTCGGGGTTGGTTTTGGTGGGTCAGAGAGGATCAGCTGGGTGTCAGCCATTAATGCTCCCAAATTCCACAAACTTGCCTTTTTTATTTTCACCATTGCCTGCCAATTATGTTTAGCTAACGAGCATCGCTGCGTGGTGATGGTGGGTCTCCATCATCATCTCAACAAAGGGTATAGGAGGCAGTGATTTCACACGACGTAAATTAACATACGTGGTATGCATGAAATGGCAAACTTGATTAGGGCAATACTTGTTGATCGTGGTATTTCTTTGTCCAACCGGCGATTTTCATGCCGTAAAAGTTTGAATGTGGAAGCGTCTTGTGAACACCTAAAATGCCAAACAGCTCATTTCACTTCAGCAAGTCGGGTTGTGTTCAGCATAGTTCTTGAGTTTGCTAATCCAGTTTATTGTTCTTGGATCATGCACTCCTAGCCTCTTGGTCAAAGGTCGAGCTCCAGCCTTCAGGAAACATGCATCGCTGCCAAACAAGAAAGTTGCATCCTCGAAGTCGGAAAAGGATGATTTCCTGTTGGGAAAGTGGAGCTTTGACTACGTCCTGTCGATGCAGTGTCAGGACGATGTTGAGCGGCCTTTGGTCGCGCGTTGACAATTCACCCGAGGGCTATCCCGTTAAGGAGATCATGGAGCTGACCCTGATCTCATTACTCTGGTTATGGGTGCAGTGTCCCAATTCAAGGAAAATTCTCCGCCAGGCCGAGGCGCACAAAAAGTACCCCCAGAGATTGTTTCGAAAAGAGGGGTCTGTTTTGGCCAAGAAATGGTGGAATTGTGTCAGTATGGCCCAGGGTCATCTCTGTAGATTCAGGGGCACCCATCTGGGGGCAAAGCAGACAAAAATGGGATTGAAAATTAGGCAGAAGAGCCCCAGGAAGGTGAGGGATGTCATTTGAAAAATGGCCGCTGGGAGGGCTTGGCAACATTCACTTTTTTGGGAGTGAGTTTGTTTTGGGCGGATAATTGAAAAATTCATTGGTTAACCTACTAAAAATTGAAAATCAAATGAAATCTGAAGGACCAAACAACACATTGTTTTTTGTTTGAGAGGCCTCAGGGACTTCAGTTGCCTGCCATGGGGCTCCAAACTTGGTTGATTTTACACTATTTTCAATGGAGCTTGAATTAGTTCAGTGCACCCTATATGAACACTACTGCCGTACTACTACTAGGACCCCATTAAGCCTTAGTTTGCATCATCCTGTATAAAGTAAAGGGTGGGTGCTCCTAGAAACCGATGGTGCTATGCAATATCCTGTAGTGTTTTGCGCCTGCTATTCGTTTTCTTGGCATGCCTGGGGGGAAATCAAAGTACGCCGTTAAACTTTCAAGAGGGCGGTGAAAGGAATGCTCTGGCCTTGAAGAAAGAAATTTTGACTTCAGATTAATGGGCTTGATGGAGTGTTAAATGAGTGTTTTTGTTGACCCGTAGACGCTCTTGCTGGAGGAAATATGACACAAGCTGCGGAAGCTGTACATCATTGAAAAATCTCTCTGTGTCGGTTATTTCCAGATACGGGAGTAGCCATTTTTGCTGACAGTCCCTTTTCTGTTTTGACCCGCTGGGACTCTGTGCAGTCGACACTCGACATGTTCCCTCAGAGGAAATGTTGGGCTAGCCAATCGAATCCGGTGCTCCTCGTCTGAACCCCACGTGACAGCCAGAGACTGACCAGCTTGTCCAGGAGAAGGGGGGGACTTGCACAAAAAATAGTACACGTCACCGTCTGGCTGTGTGTTTTTGAATGAACTGAACCCTTTCCTGTCTGTGATTCTATGACCTGAAAACCGACTGCAGGTTAAAGGTCGTATCTTTTGAAAAGGATATTGTTTGGCCCCCAAAAAGGTGAGATTGTGTAAATCATTGCCAGGATCAACTCCCTGGGTCTTTGAGCTTTCATATGAGAGCAGGATGGCTAAAATTTGAAAAATGGTTGTAAGTGCCCCAGAAAGTTGAGAGTTGCCACTCGAAAAATGGCTGCAATCAGATTTCGGAAAAATCACTTTTTGGGGGGTGATTTTGTTTTGCGGGAATAATTAAAAATGTAATTGGTTAACCCACAAACAATTAAAAGATAAGAGACCAGACAAGAATTTCATTTGTATTTCAGAAATCTCAGGGATGTTGGCGTGCAATCTATTGGGCCCTGAACGGTGCTGATTTTACACAGTTTTCAATGGGGCTTGAATTAGTGGACTGTACCCCTATGCAATGACCCTTCGGCCATGCTTTGACCACGGGGAAGGAATGAAACGTTAGTGTGGTCATAAATTTGACATGAAACTTCAAATTAATTTTAGACTGAGAATTTTATCAAAATGAGGCCTCTTATCCGGGAATCAGAGTTCTTCTTGAGAAGAATCTTATCTACTACGGGAGGTTGAAGTTTCGTGGCAGGATATTAAAAAACCTTGGGACGGATGAATTCACATGCGGTCACCGCTTTCCACCGAGGTGGCTCGGCAATTGTACTCTAATGGTCCATCGCGGCAGGTATTTCTGTCGACTGTTTTTGTTTGGAATTGGCCGGTGAAGGAAGTCAACCGCGACGGGGCCATTCACGAAGTCTGTAATAACTCGTTGTTGAAGTCCAGGCTGAGGAAAATATTCAACGACCAGTCACAAAAATTATTATGTGGTGTCATAACCAGTGGCCAAGTTTATGCGAACAGGAGATTAATTTTGCATGTTAGAGAGGGTCGATACTACAAAGCCGAAAGGGGTGAAAGGTACTCTCTCAATCTTTTTAATAATTCTTAGTTCGTTAATTTTGGAAAACTGCAAAGATGCCGCGAGGCTTGAAGCACGATGGAAAGTTCCTTTGTTGGCCTTCTCGGATACCTTTATAATAAAAAAGTGGTACCCACCAATCTTTGGGTACAAGAAAAGCCAATCCTCTTTTATTACCAAGCTGACCATGAAACGCCAATCACAACCAAATAAAATCGACGTAGGCCCTACATACATGTACATGTATATTAAGTCTGCAATCGCCACAGAAAGAGGGAAAAAAGCCATTTGTTATTTTCGGTTCGAAAAGCGTAAGAACTTGCTGTTTTCGCCATGAGTGGTAGACAAATGACGCCACATGTACAGCACATGGAAGACTTTCCAATGGTCGGGCCTTGCTTAGGATGGACAATGACGAAGATAGCCTCTACATCAGTTTTCGCTGAAGCATCTTCATTTTGATATCGATCAAGTAGATGAAGCTAAAGCTACCTGACAGATATAAAACTTGTCGATCAGAGGACTTCATGTTTTGTGGAATTCTTCCTGTACGTATAGGGCAGTCTGGTAGAACTTTGGGGATGCTATTGATGATGGGAGATCCGCCTATAATGATAGCATGGTCTCCCAACAGGTCGTTATAAATGGCGCACTCACAAACATGGGTGGTAACGGGACCAGCCACAAACACATGTTGATGTTTTTAACGAAGTTTAACCCACTTAATGACCTCGCAACGAAATTTAACGTCGTGGAACAGCGAAAGCTTCCCGCTCCCCAGACTTTCCCTCAAACCTCGGAGAAAATCCACGAGGTGTGTGGACCGTCACCAAGTCCCTCGAATTTTCCAGCACCAATTATGGAATAAGAGTACTATGACTTTAGCCCGAACTCTTTACTTCTATCCTCCATTCTGTTAATGTCTTTATGAAGTTTGTGTTTCAATTCAAAACGTTCTTGTTTGTCCACACTGCGTTGTTTTCCCGATGATAAATTCACGCTGTGGTCAGGATAGTATGTGGCACGGGATTTGTGTCATCGGGAAACGCTCATTTTGACATGACATGAATCGAGGGAAGGCCATCTTTGCTTCATCCCTGTGACGGTCTTCTTTTTTTCGTCGTGACTCAAGTCATGCACCTGTCGCAGATTAATGAAACACGCCTAAGTGATGGACATTTGTTGCACCCACAGCTGGTTCTGTACGTATCGCAGTAGTGCTGTGTAACGCGAGTCCGCTTTATTTGTCAAGAGGGAGAGGAATGGAAATGAATACTTTGCACAGTCATGGAGGAAGGTACATGTAAAAGTAGAGGTTAGCCCTCCGGACGCAAAGGTAACTAGAGGAAAGGAGAAATGTTGGAATAAACTCCAGTCCCAACCTGTGCATGTTTAAGTGTCGAACAAAGGGTATTAACTATTATCCTGAAATAGCAAATCTATTTAAAGTTAAAGTGTGATAGGTTATCAGTAGTGTATGATGTTGGAACTTACAAGCTTGCATAGTTGTTGAAACCGACTGTTCATTAAAGGGGTCTACAGGGTGAAGTTTATTCACCACCATCCATGGAAATGAACCGCTGTGTTTCAGTTCATTCAGTTATTAAACCTTGTCTTCGATTTTTGTTTTGCCATATTAAAGGTGTTTTGGTGTCCTTTTGGTTTCTATGTTAATGCGAACTGTCTTATTCATGAACAAATCGTGTTTACATTCCAAGGAAACACCTCAGACTCAGAGTTGTATTGGTTTGTGCGAAAAAAATTCGAATTTTTGACTGTTTATTGTCCTAAATTTCTTTTTTTTTTCTGTAGTGACTTTTTGTTGTGTGAGTACATAGCAGCCATTTTGGATGAGCTAGTTGGATGATTTGAATGAGCCTGTTTTGGGTTCATCTGAACAGAATAACGTATCAACTGCAAAGTGTCCTCCCTGAGTGACATCACAGCAGTAGCGCCCTCAGTTGTCCATAAAGGGATGGGCAATTTCAAATGTTAAGAAAACTTGAGTTTTATTGAGTGCACTCAACCCCAGTGAACAAGACTTTAAGACAGCAAAAAAGTAGGTGGACCCTTTAAGGGAAAATTAATATTGCTGTTTGCTCCTGCTGTTTTTGATACACTTTGTGTAGTTCTTTGCACATCGACTTAACAGATTACCGGTACTTCGTGTATTAATCTGTTCAGTATTTGCACATCGACTTTAGCTTCCCGGCAGAATGGCAACGTTAATTTTTTTATCGATAGCCTTTGATCTCCACGCCACAATAGCAAGCTTCCGTGTATCTGTTGACGCACACGTTGGACGGCATTCAAAACTTGAGCGGCAGTTCAAGTTGTCAACAGCAATTTTAGACTCACTTTGTTATCAGCCTCCTGGATATTTCGAGTTGCAAACCTTCGTGTTGCTGTAAAAAAGTTATTCATTGACCATCAAGTGACAGGGAAGCCTAAGATATTACTTTTTAAGTAATTTTCCCGCCATACGCAGACTTGCTCCTTGTAAAATTATTGCGTTCAGCTGGGATTGAGTGTGCCGCTTGGCAAACTCGTTCCCACCACATCGAGTAGTATGCTTTACTGCGATAATCACTGTTCTGTTCTCTCGTTGAAATCAAGGTTGAATGCGGATCTAGTCTTGGAATTAGACGCTCCTAATATGTAACGGGCCGTGTTTCGTTGCATGTTTCATCATGGTTTCATAAGGGAACATTTCTCGACATTATGTACGTATGATTCTGTACTTCAGCCCATCCTGTCGTAGTATTGGGGCTGAGTTCGTGGGCCATACGCATACATAGCCTGTGGAATTGTACATAAATCTATTGTAAGATCTTCGGGCAGGGTCATATCCCGAGTTTTGCAGAGCAAACCTTTTTATCGGTGGTAAAATTTACGATCATGGTTGTTTTAGTTTTATGGTCAGGGGTGGAACACATACCGTATGGAGCTCTAAAAGGGAAGTCAGCTTTTCTGCGTGGCCAGCTGTTGTTTTGTCACAACAGAACTGCTGCTTTGGCTGGGCCGTTATGTTGGGGGAAATACAGATTTCAAACAGTCGTAGTTTGACTTTTACAGATGTATTCACAACATGGAGATACTGGTAACTACAGTTCTTCTTTATCCGGAGAATACAAACTTTCAAGAAATTAATTGAAGGTGTAATTTTTTCAAAGTATCGTATAATAATTCTGTGAATATTAATTGCTGAATGTAAAAATAAAAACAAAACCAAGAAACTAAATCAAAGTGAGGGAAGGTTTTGTAATGTAGCACTTTCTCCTGCGTTACAAGGAAATGCACCGACAATTCTGTTCACATGCACGCACTCACGAGATACGAGGATCAACATGCTGCTTTATTTTTAGAAAATGACACTTGCATGTAGCCCCTGTTGCAAATCCCACGTATAGGTTTTTCTGTTGTCATTGGGAGGTGACCCGTCGCACTATTAGAGCAGGGAAACTTTGCAAATGGAATAAACAGTTCTCTTGATTTCTGAAATCAGCTTCAGGTGCGTGACAGCGGGGCCTAATTAGTGCGGTGTGCCGGATGCTATAGGAATAGATCATAATTGTGAGCAGGCTCGCAGTGCAGCTTCCTTGTTTCTTCCTCCATGGCAATTCACATACAGTATGTAATTCACTGAATGCGCTGCGGTTTGTGAAGGTTAGGCTTTGGTCAACTCGTCATTCGTATGGAGTATTAGCGAATCATGTGCCCCTGGAAAAGTTCTAATCCCTACATGGTTGAACTTTGAAGGAAGGCATGTAGAACTGTCGGCGTGACCTTGCTGTCATGAGTCACGGAATCACCAACTTCGTTACTGCATTGTATTCGTGGGTTGGTGCATCACACAGCGTTGCAACGCGCTTGTACATGTACTGTACATGTACATGTACTGTACATGTACAGTACGTTCAATTAGAATACACAGTACACACGTGGGACAAGCGCTTGCCCGGTCACATTACTGTTGCTCGCATCCATCGGACCGTGGTTAGTTTTTTGTTGCCGGTTTTATGTTTATCATTTTAAGCAACAACCAGATTTTGAGGTTGACAGCCATTTCTTCTGTGTTAGTGTTTGTTGTTGACAAATGGCGTTTTTGTGCTGAAGGGTTGGAAAGCTACTGTGACACTTCGTGTGCGCGGTTGAATATGCTTTGACCTCCGAAGGAGTTGCTGTTCGTCGAAGCACTGTACAAAGAGGAGGGAAATGCCCTCTTATGTGCGTTTTGTGGTGAACAGGTCCAACGCACAACTTGAACCACGACTTTAAACCGCCTTATCAGGCTGGGGTTTGGATATTTCGCTCTGTTTGTTTTATAAGTCCAACCGCCGCTTGCTGTCAGCACGATTGCTGTGTGCATGTACAGGTCCGCTCGCTGTTTAATGATCCGTCGCAAGTACACAGAAGAAAGTCGGCATGTGAAGGACAATTGCTGTGTGCCAACGGCCTGGGCAAGACAGGTTCGCTGTATGGAAATTAAGTTGGTCACACCAGCACGGAAGAAGAGATCCCTGGAATGCTGCAGTGGTAGGTAGGCAGACTGCATCACTGATGCCGCGGAGGCTGGACCTGTTCTAAATACCCAGGCCATGAATAGGCCGATCGCGTTTATGCGCCTTCAAGCTTTCCCACGATTGTATTGGTGATGTTTGCATAACAATATGACTTCTGTGCGAAACATGGGTTGAATACGGCAAGTTGAAATGGCTTTGTGAGACGGGAGATCTGGCTTAAGTCCACGATTCCCGCTTCAATACACAGGCATCAAATCGATAGAAATTGAAGGAAGGCTGAGTGATGATTGACGACAAAACAGCAGAGTGACATGAACGAATTGCCCTACCTCTAGCTTCACGATAACGACGTCTTGGTCACGATGAACGCCCAAGATGCCGGTTCGGCCATCGGCGATTTTGTCCGTGAAGCCGCGAGCGCGTACCAGCTGTCGTCCGCCGCCTTGTCTACAAGGACCCTGCGGCGATACCTGGCCTGGTTCATCTTCGGCATAGCTGCCACCGTGGTGTTCTGCTTGGGAATACTGCAAGGGGCCAGCTCGGGGTGGAACTTGCAGCACGCGGAGGTGGTGGGCAGACACGGCCCCTTGCGAGGCGGACCGTGGCACGCGGCCGGAACCCATCACCAGAGGAGAGAGACCAGGACGAAGCTAGAGCCTCAATCGGTACATATCAGGAACAAAAGTATGTCAAACCTACCCATCTTGGATGCGCTCAGCTTTCAGAGATTGGAAAGCGTTGTGAAGAACTGGGGAAGGACTGAACCAAATCTGACAAGCGTGCAGGTAAAAAGAAAATCACCCTTTTACTGTGGCAATGGCATTATTTGCAGATAAGCCCAGCTCTGTGGCTCATGACGTCTGAAGATTTGCCAGCAGATTCTTCTGACGAGTTTCCCGATGTCCTCATGTTAAGCCACAGAGCTAGAGCTGAGTTTTCCAAGCTAGTTCGTCGCTATAGTTTCTGAAGTCTTCCCTAGGGTAGGAGTCCCATGATCGGACATCACTTGTTTTCCCTTGCAGTGGTTTATAAACCATCTTAAAGCGGTAACATGTCCTGAAAAGTCAAATTTAGCCTTGTACAAATTGAAGCATTTAATTAGAAAAGATAGACATTTTCTCATGGGGTTTGTGCACTGGGAGTCAAGACAGTGATGTCCATTTACATGGAACTCTGTCCAAACTGAGACTTCAGTTCAAGTTAAAACACCTTGATTCATTATTAGTCAATAGAACTTTCCCACATTTACATCAGGCGAGGACATTTAAGCTGCTAATTGCGGTTTTTACCCACATCAAACATTTGCCTCTATAGAGGATTCCCTTCATGTCAGTCACTAGCTGTTCCTATGAGATGTGGATGTATGGTTGTATACACAAGATTTTTTCTAATTCCTGTGCATTGAGTTGTGAAACACAAGATGTCGGATCATTGACAGATTTTTCTGTAAAACTGCACTGGAGCTTCGGACATACAGTACCTTCCAACCTAAAATTCACGGGTGGCGTGACTCCAGGGAGAAATTGTGCAAATCATCTTTTGACCACGTAGACATACCTCCCCTTATACTGTAGTTATGTACATATAGATACACATTATCCACACTCACCCCAAATATTCTCCCTGCAGGAGACACAAATGCATCATAGATCACATTAATTGTACAGTCCTGGGCTTTGTTTCTCTATCCCGGATGTGCCGTTAATTCGTGGGGACATGCCCCTGTCTCTACTCTTAACACGGGCTGGCATTGGAAACATGACCCATTGCACTATTATTGTGAGTGTCTGTGTAACCATGTAACTGTCTTGGTTACCAATGGTATAACTTCAAGCTGCAGCTTCAGTTCTAGGTTTGGTACCCTGACCTTGGCATTCCCAAAACAAACCACAATCTTACTATCACTTCGTAAACATGTTAGGACGCCATAAGCTTTATCTGTCCATTCCTACTGAAAGTAATGTTCAAATGCTGAACACTTTTCAATGCTCTGAACGTGTTGAGTTTACTTATACTATATATGTTAAGAAACCAAAAGTAAGGAAGCGTTTAGCAATGGTTAATCACTAAACACAGTTTAGTGTACACTTTAATTCACTCTACAAGTCCCGAAGCTCTTCACGGACCTCTCTCACTCACACGACTCCTTCTCACCCCCGAACGTGCAGATCTTCAGTCTTGCGACAGCGTAATCATAAGCATTCTTTTCGTTTCATGATTTAAGCCACCGTTCAAGACTTGGATTAATACCTATTTATCAAGGCCCTTTAATTTTGATGTGCATTTGAGCATCGGTCGCGAATTAGATCATGGTGTGAGCGGATATGGATCGTTATGAAACAGGGAACATGTCATGGAGTGTGTGGGGTGGGTGGGGGTTACTTTGGTTAGAAAACCTACTGCGGATACAGATGTTGCATGTTGAAAAAAAGTAATGACACCTTTTTGTGACATTCTCCCGTGATCGCATTCGTCGGGAATTTCCCCACTGGGAGAATTTGTACCATCGCTTCTCTGCTCCCTGTTTCACTCGGAGAGATCACCGAGTCGTTTCAGTTGCTCATGCACTTGACTTATCTATTTTAGGCAGCGTGATTGCCCCCGGAATACACGCTTCCGTTCTGCTATATACAGCAGATGATGGATGATGAGGTGTAGACGCTAACTTCATTAGCAAGCTGCCCTCAGTTTTTCCTTGTGGGGCATTGTATGTGTTTGGACTGAGACTACACGAATTTCACTGGGTCTCTTGCTTTTGTGGACTTTGACCCTAAGCCCTAGGGCGAGTGAAAAATAATACCGAAATTCAAGGATGGATTTAGGTATGCAGGTTAACACATAAAATGAACTCGGCAAGCTTTGTGATTCATCGTGAAATGTCAGCCTTGATTACTAAGGGACATCTGAATGCTGACCAGTGATTGTGTATAATTTTTCGGGATGACCAGGTCATCCTTCGTCTCTCTCAAAAGAATGCGTTCCCAGTTGGGCTTAAACAACAGTTCGCGTAGCACAGTCCCATCCACACGCAACCTATGAAACCCACTTCTCTTGAAAATGATGAATTTATCAGCTTCGTGTGGGTATGATAATGGTAATTATAGCGCGTTGGAATTACTGGAATGTCATAGTGAAAACTTGATTGTGTTGACGTGCATCAGCTGGTATAATTTCTGTAAGTTCCTGATTCACAGGATTGACTTTTCAAAAACTGAGAATGCTCTTTCTGAAAGTGAAGCAATACATCGTGCGGCGACTAGTTGCCAAAAGATAAGTGAAAGGGTATGTCCGTATCAAAAATGGAAATTGGAGCTGGTCTCGATTCAAGCCGCTTTTTCACGACAGTCTCGTTACTGAAATGCCCGAAAGAGTTCGAAGTGCAGTTGTGTACTGCGAGAGATTGATTTCTGTCTGTGACCTCAGGGATCAAGCACAAGGATAGGCCTATATCGTTAAAATCTCGCTTTCATATCTCCAGTTTTCGTTCCATTCTTCTCCTCGCAGCTTCAGCGGTAAATGTTTCTGCCGGTGGATTATTTTTCCTTGGGTTAGTTGCTGCGGTGGAATCCGAGCTATTTCATTAACAGCCAGATCAACTTGTCAAGCTTGTGACCCCAGACGGTCATTCGTAGTAAATGTTAGCATTGAAGCAACAGTTTATTCAGTCAGCGCATACTTTACTATCACTACATACATTGTACATTCTTTCAGCTTCGAAATATCTAAGCACTATTTCGATCATTGGGGGTGAATGATCAAGATCGGTATTTTTAGTTCCCCCAATTTTTCCATGCTTTGTTGGGTGGGTCTATTCGTGAAGCTAATACATTGGGGCATTTTGTGCTCACAAACCGAACCAGGAAATGTGACATAGGCCTACATGTACTGTACATGCGTTCAGCCTTCACCTTGGGCCGAATTTCCTACACAAGTACTTGAAGCTTCGGAGTCATTTTTCAAAGCCTTCGTCCTGTTTACGCCAATGGCACCGGGTTTACCAAACAGGACCGGTAATGTTGATACAAGCCGAGAACGAAATCCCGTTTAATATTTCACGTATCTCAACATATCGCCACATGTGAGGGCGACGTGTGCGCCGGGACAATCACCGGCCTCGACCCGCTTTCTGCCGTACGTCTCAACGGTCACATCACTTGTCACGGATTCGACCCACCTTGACTTTGGAGTTAATATCACGTGCACCATTAAAGGATCACTCAAGCGAAGTTTATATTGTAGCGTAAATAGGGCCAAAATCCACACCTCTTCAATTAAATTTCGAAAAGGGAATCCTTATTTCTTTTGCTCATTTTAATGCACTTTTTTATATACTTTCACAGAGGGCGCATGTGCAGTGACGTCGTTCAAGGCATAGGCCTGTTGACAGAAAAAAAAAATTGGGGAATAGGCATTTTCCACACACAGAGAGATTTGATACTTACCCTCTTCGTTATGTTTCGTCTGCGACTAGCTGTCATGTTTTTAATCAACTAATAAAACGCGAAACCAAACTTTAAACCACGACCGGAAAACAAACAAGTACAAATCGCTGTAAACAAGCTGCTGCCTGTGAGGACATTATCGTAATAGCTCATGAATGTTGGGAGTTTGGAGGATTATAGCAAAGGTAATCCTAAAGTACCATTGTCAAATGTGGTAACCACGAAATGATGAAGTTAGAGTATGGGACACAAAGCTGCATTCAAGGATGGAAATAGGCTATTGCGTTGGCCTTTTAAAACCTGAACACCCTAAGGCTAGCTCGTACTTAAGGCGAACTGAAGCGAAGCAAATCTGACGTCAGAAAGCATCTTCATCGAAATTTGCTTGAGTTGAAGTGTGTGTTAAAGCCTACAGCTAAAGCACGGTTCCAAGCAAAAACCTCCGTTGTCTGGCGATTTTTTTCTGAGCTTAACAGTTCTATAGTGTAATTCGGCAACTAAGAAGCCATTGCTGCTGTGATGGCACAACGCTCGTGGACAGATGATACGCGCGCGTTACATGCCACTTCGACCAATCCGGTTCGTAAGTGACTTCGTCACAAAAGCAAACGCGCCACGATTTGGACAATCGCTGAGGGTGCGCATTAACTTCCGGTTCCATGGTTCCATGTAAACGGCGGTCAACGCATGTAACCCTATGTGCAGTGCACGTGTGCAGTGGGCGTGGTTTATACTGAAGTGACGTCACACTTACGAACCGGATACTGTGTCTTGATTTGCCAAATGCACGCGCGCGTCATTTCCAAGAACGCGCGTGTTGGTGCGGCGCCACTGCAGTGTAAGGTTCCTTGGATTAGTCTGTAGTGTGAGCTCGGTTGCTGTGGTCACGGTTCTGGAATGTGCACGCATAGATCTACTGTCATGCTTTTCTTTAAGAGACGATAAATTTGCTACATTAGCTTTCGAGATAACGACGTGATGTTCAATTAACATGGTGACACAAAGTCCCTAGTTTTATATCTGGAATGCATGAACACCTTTTAGGTGACAGTTGAGGGCAGGTGCAAAGATCCCCTTTTTGATTATTTGTTTACGCATTTATTGATTCACCTTAAGGGAGTCTACGACAGTTATATGTCCCTTCCCCCTTTACTGAAACCCTCCCGGGTGTCGGCAGTAGACTGTTTTCATTTTTGGTTCCCGTTGATTACCCCGTGGTTAATCTACCGTGAGGTCGCCCGTAATCTTGATGGTGGATGGCCTGTCTAGTCATAACAAGAATCCTTGTTGTCTCGTGGCAGCGCTGCATTATTGTCTTTCGTCACCCCGGGCACCTCCATTATAAACGAGGACCCCCCCCGACTCCCCACTTGTATAAAGACACAAAGTCCTATAGCAGAGGTGGACGTTTTAAGAATGGGGCGCCAGCGGTTAGTGCGTCCAGTAAACATTTCCTCTCGCTCTTGTTGGTGAACAGCGGTTCACCTGTGTCTATATTTCAACCCGCTGGTGCCAAAGGTGAAATATTTTCTCGGAACATTCTTGCTCAAGGGTGGGCTCTATGGGTGTACACGCCCTCCGTCTTCCGCTCTCACAACCAGATGAAACATGGTGGCAGCGTGCATTACCTGAAAGTAACTTAGGTGCTAGTCGCCAAGAACTGCGTTCCTGTCACGTTTCATGTCTGAAGTTGTAAGTGCACAATGAACTCTTCGTCTGCGGGGTGAATGTTTCATAGAGCAGGGCAGCTGCAACAACATTGCAGATGTGCATAGCAACACGTTTGGATTGTCAGCCTTTTAACAATTTCAATTCTGTCTTCTTGTCCAGATTTCTTTCTCCGCAGCTTTGAAGCGCGAGTCCCGACATATTGATCCAGTTAGTGTAACGGATGCAGTTTATGAAACTCCTTAGACACGCCCGAACCGGCAGTCAAATCTGGGGAAATGTCCTCACGTGTTCATTCTCAGCGACAAGATTTTCACAGGCATGCAGTGTTTGCGTATTTTGGTCAGCACAAGACATGTAAATTTCCACACAGTTCGTTTGAGATGTGTAAACTATATCCTGGATCTTTTTGCTGCTGTGGGGTCTGAAGGCAAGAGGGTTTATCTTGGTCGTGTGTTTGGAATCCCCGACGGATATTACGGCTTTGGGAGGACTTATCAGAGTTTAACGGTGAGCGTACACGCCGAGTCAGCGTCACACGGCGTCAGGTGTGCGTTTCATCCGCTGAGTAATGACATCTCCCGTCACGGTCATCATTGTGTGCGCAAAATCTGGGAGCACAGGTGCGGAAGTGGGTCCCTCGGCGTCGTGCTGCCAAAGTTGGAGCGGAAAATCTGTGCCTGCCTTACAAGAGCAGTTACAACTACAAAAATGTTTAGCTCGATGCTCCCATATCACACCATCGTCAAGGTGCATCTTCTGACGTCCAAACCGTGGAAGTGCAGAAATACTAGTAGCATATCCAACGGGGAAGGAGTCAGGAGCAACTTGCCCCCCCCCCCCATTTTTTTTTACTACAAAGAATACTTTATGGGGCAGTGCGGACATCCGGGAGTTTCATGAAAATACGGGTAGCAACTACACCGCGGCCGGTGAAAACAAGTGCAACGAGCGCGCGCGTACGTACAGATCAAAGAAAAGATTGTATAACCCGACCCGATCGTCGGACTGGCTGGTGCGTGCCTACGTCACCAAGATCACTGTTTTCACCGGCGCAGTAACTGTCATTTTGCGAGAACCTCGGATGTCCGCGCTGCCCCATAGGTAAGAAAGTAATGGCTGTACTTATTTATCAAATATTAACACCGACACCCAGTGAAAACAACACCATGAAATAAATGCAACGATGTCTGGACCGCGAGTAAGGCTTTGGATTTTTGTCTCCCCCATCGTCATGTTGAATAAGCCTGAAGACGCATTCGCTTTTGAATTTGCCCCCCCCCCACACCAAAAACTGGATACGCCGCTGAGAAATACCGCATAATGATCCTTTGCTTGCGTGCGTCTCTCATGACTTCCTGCTGTATCTTCATATCTGATTTCGTCCATTTTTTGGCCGTCTTTCATGGACATGTACGTCGTTACATGCAAATGAAATGAAATTTTTTTGTCATGGAAATGCAATGATGCGTTTTAAATGAAGGGGGCAGCAGACTGACTGTGCTGCAATAGTTCACAGACGGAAAAATGTTTCAGCCCAGTTAGTTTCTAGTTTCGGGGGATATGTATTGCTTTTTGGTATTGAGCTGATTTGTGTAGTTTTTGCTGTTCTGGTACATCATACATACATATACTTTATTTCATTCAGTATTTAGCCTGTGTGTCTTTACATTTGTTCAGATGTAGGGGTCAGAACAGGTGTAATGAGATTAGCAGTTATTTTATTTTGCAAAACAAACTTAATCAGTTCACCTTAACATCATATCGTGCGAATGTTTATTTCATGTTGCCACTTGTTTGATTTGTTTCAGATCACTAGATCCATCCGCAACCATACGATCCACTCCATCTGCCAGGCGGAGCAGCTGAACGACATCTCGATGCTGGACGCCGCGGCTCGCGAGGCTCTGACCCACCAGATCATCGTGGACGACGAGCGTAGGTTCCTCTACTGCTACGTACCCAAGGTGGCCTGCTCTAACTGGAAGCGGGTCATCAAGTTCATGCAAGGCACCCTGGGGGACATCGGTGCCAAGATCAAGATGGACCACAAGAACGGCCTGGTCTTCCTGGACAGCTTCTCAAAGAAGGAGATCCAGTACCGTCTCCGGAACTACTTCAAATTCATGTTCGTGCGCAACCCGGTGGAGCGGCTGCTGTCGGCCTTCCGGAACAAGTTCGGCGAGGAGGCCCTGAGCCAGTACAAGCAGCGGTACGCGCCCAGGATCATCCACCGGTACCGGGGCAGCTGGGACGGGAAAGACACCAACATCACCCTGGAGGAGTTCATCCGGTACCTGCTGGACACGCGGACTACCAAAATGGACCAGCACTGGAAGCCCATGCACCTACTGTGCCAGCCCTGCGCCGTGCAATACGATTTCGTCGGCTCCTTCGAGCAGCTTAGCGAGGACGCCAATTACGTCCTGGGCAAGATCAAGGGTGACACCGGGGCTTACTTTCCCCCGCGCCAGGGGTGGTACAACCCCACCACCCAGGAAAAAGTGGAGGCGCTCATCGGCGCGGTGAACCCCATCTACATCCAGCAGTACGTGGACAAGTACATCCTGGATTTTATAACCTTCGGTTACGCGCCACCGAAACAGTACTACCTGAAATACCATCGAAACGACGAGGGGAAAGAGACGACTAGCGAGGATGATATCGATCCCAGGGTCAGCGAAGACTTGTAGCTGGGGAGTTCCTCTATCTGTCCGTCCGTCCTGTTTTTGCGTGTATCATACTTTCTCTGTCTGTGACAGCCATCGAGTTGGTACACACGCCGTGGAGAGGTTTGGTAAGCCCCCCCCCGAAAACTCATCTGGATTTTCAAAGTGAAGGGCATTTGCTGCTGCCCTGGATAACCGCGGCGTCAGCCGGAAGCCCAGAAAAACTGTCGAACCCTCACTTTGCTGTTGTTTCACTGGAAACAGTCTCCCAAAAAGATATTGCTGGCTGTGTCCAGGACTTGTATCTGATTGGAAGAGCATATTTCCTCTCCATTGAACCTTCTTTGACGGTGTCAACCACCAAAAAAAAGAAAGAAAGCTCAATTTCTCCGCCAAAGATTATCTTCAGACTACTTTATTGTTTACAGACTTTTCATTATTTTTGGTACCTGTCCGAGTACATGCATTGAGCTTGTGTTATTTGTGAAGCCAGGGGATTAATTAACGGCCAGATGTTCATGTACCTCACTGCAGGTGGTCAACTCTTGGAGTGTGGTTTAAAGATGTGCTGAAGATATCAAACTGGTCTTCGCACCATATTCTGCACAAAGTCACAAAGCAACACAAGCCCTGTTGTTGTGTATACATGTACGTGTAGTTTACAGTACAACATGTACATGTACGTACATGTATTTATTTAGTGAGACAATGAAATGCATGAGAAATGCACTTGGGAAAACGACGTGCTTTTTTGAACTGCTCCAGGGAAGTAGTCAGAGTCCGTGAGAACAAATCCTCAGGAAATCGCGAGGGTGTGGGGTATTTTCACGAGGGCTAGTGCTTTGTAAGTTTCCCCCAGGGGAGGCTTTGTAGTTAAGTTGTTTCGGCTTTTAGCATGGCTGGCCTTGAAAATGTCCTTGGATGCAAAGATTCACGGAAGCGGATTTGTTTGAAGGGACGACCAAAGAGTCTTGCACGGCGTGCTGAATTTACCCTTTGAGCGAAATGAACGTGCGCTTCAAGAATGATTCAAAAAGGGGACAGTTGTTTTATCCACGACCGCATTGGCAGGATTTGTGAAGACATTTCGTCCAGGATCGCATAGTCAACTCGCTTACGTTTTTCAAAGACGTGGTATTCTCAGCGCAGAAGTTTTTTTTGTTGTTGTTTTGTTTTTTGTTTTTTAGTTTTAACTTTTCTGATGAATTAACAATGGTTAAAATGTTACCTAAAAATTCTTTTCTAACGAAATGAAACGTAAATTTATAGAAACGGGCTAAATGGAATATGTATTCCACATGACAGAAGGTAGTAATGTTAACCCTTCTAATACCTAAAAGGTGTGAATAACGAAGATTTATAAAGATTTTCTTTATGTGGGTTTAAGTATAATTTGGATGTTAACCCCCTGTTTGTGCTTTAATTAACATATTTTAATACAGCTGACGCGAATGTCGATGCGAAGTATCTGATGGAGCAGCGAATTTTCACTCTGGTAATTCACGGAAAGTTGAATTCACATCAAGTTCAATTCGAGGGACATTGGCCCTTTCTTATTGAGTTTTTTTTCACATAAAATGTGTGTCCGTTAACGGGGACTTACAGACTGCATCTACGAAATGTCTTAGTATTATTCACCCAAATAATTAGTAATTTGGCGCTTGATTAAATAATATGGTCTCGTTCTGCGTCTAAAACCCTGTAGTTGTGGTTTCTTGTTTAAGTCTTGTGGAGAAATTTAATCTTCTTACTCATTGAATTTACTCGTTTGGGTATTGGGGAAACACGGATGCATGCTTGCAGTGATTACGTTGCTAGCTAAGCCTCAGACCTTTTTGTGAACTCTTACGAAACCTGTTGGCACGCCTGACAGGTTTTATATTTGGTGATAGCTACTTCATGATAAAATGGGCTCCCGTAATCCATAAATTCTGTTGCGAGCTTGCAGATAAAGAATAACACTACATGTAGCAGTTACACCTCACCATATGACAGTAGATAGAACACAGCACACAGACCAATTATCACTCCGTTATATGAGTTCTATAGCTGTTTATTCCCTGTCGTTACAGGTTTTACTCCTATTTCAGTAGTACACAATATCTTAGTTACTCTGCCATATGACATAACATGTACCAGTTACTCTGTCATAATGACAGAACATGTAGCAGTTACCTGTCATATGACAGTACACAGTATACCAGTTACTGTGTCGTATGACAGAACATGTAGCAGTTACTATGTCATAACGACAGTGTCATCTACCGGTTTCTTAATCCATCTCCGAAGCACTGTCACACTCTGGCACCACTTTCTATCCGTACTTTACTTATTACGTAACTGCTATAATATAAAACGTTGGGCAATGAAAGTCGGGTGGAAGTCGAGATGTAGCGTGGCATTCTCCGTCATAGACATACTTGGTCAAATACATGTATACTGTAGTTATAATTATAACCACTTGACCAGAGAATGGGAAGTAAATATTTATAGACCAGTACTTGAAATCATGGTTGCTCAACCCCTTTTGCAATGTAGCAAAAACAAGATACTATGCCCAATCTGCATTGTAAGTCCTTAATCTAGTGAAACACTGAACGTTTCTCATTTTTTCCCTCCGTTTTTCCGTTTCTTGTTTCCCCTTTTTTTCTCGTGACTTGAGTTCTCGACTCAATTCGGTCAGGTTGGTCCAGACTCCAACAGAGTGAGAGAAACCATGTTGACCTCGTGTGTTTGTCTCACACTCTTCACTCAACAGCTCCAGTGTCCACCCCCCCCCCCGGAGAAGTCAGTGCTTGCCTTGGCAACAAGGAAAAGGGGGGAGGCATGGTGGGGTGATGATTCATGATAAAAATGCCGGGCAAAACCCCTTGCAAGCGGCCAGTGGACATGTCATTACCACGCCGAGGTTTTCTTCACAATGATGACCGGCGGTGACATTCCACAGCACGGATTTATAGTGCTGGCAACGATTAGAGTTCAAGGCGTAAATAGGAAGTCTTTGAGCTTTCGTAATTTGTTGACTTATGGCGTTGTCGTTTGGTGCACAAAGGTTTTGAAACCACAGTGTTGATTCTCTCCATTTTCTCATAGTTTCAAACTCAGATACATGTACATGTACATAGCTGTAACATACATGGAAGGACTGTTGAAACTAAATTCTGTACTTCAGCGTCCGGGACCTTTTCTTGGTCATGCGACGCTTTTGAATAAGGGAAAGGAGAGAGTTTGTCCTTGATGACGATCACCCTGTTGCTGATGCTTCTGCGAATGATGCTTCGGGAACTACGTAACGTACGTAAGCATTGGGTGCTGTGCAGGGACGTGGAATGGGCAGATTCTTTTAAACTTGAAGACATTCTCTTTCGTGTTTCCTGCAAATTTCTCATAACCCGTCAATTGTTTGTGTGGTGGAGATAGAGTTAACTCCATTTTTGTGTATGCTCACTAATGAATTGTTCAGCCAAAAATGAATTCTTGCCTTTGTGTAAACAATTGGCCCTTTCTGTTTTTTTTCCAAATTATGAAAACCACTGGGAGGCCGTTAACATTTTCAGGTAACCAGGTGAAACAGCAACTGTTGTCTTCTGAAGTGTCTGGAGTATCCAACTTTGAACTTGCGCCGCCGTGCCACCCGACACAAGCTGTTTGCTACTTCCGCTTCATTTCGTGAGCGCCCCTAGTCCCGGGAAAGCAGCCTATATTTTGGCTTTCCTCTCTTGCAAGAAACTCACTCGTCAGCTGGCCGGACATCGCTGGGAAGATGGGTAGGATGATAAACATGGGAGAGGTGCTATCAGAATGATGGCATGTTCTGGTAGCACGGCACTGGAGGTCCCTTCTAGCCTTCACTTCGTTCTTTCACACAATGGGTCTAAGTCTGGTGCACGACCCGGTGCCGAGACATCATCCTGGAGTCGTGTCCCAGATCCCTCATCAACCAAACGCCAGAGGGTGCGCTTGGAAAATGATACATTATGACATGTAGGATCAATCATCGACGGTTTGATTTGGCTGTCAACAAATCAATGCATTGACTTATATGTTGATTTCATCGCCCTATGACCGGTCCATCAGGCCAGTAAACAACATAACAAGATTTAATATACTGCACCGGATTTATTGCCCTTGGGCGCCAAAAGAGTGGTTCACGTATTCCTGATCCTGCCGGCGCAAACAATAATTACTGACGTTCTTGATCTTGGTGTTGTCTTGGTAGTCTTTATGGGGTTAGTGCCAAGGAGCATTTAGAGCGCGACGGCTTGGCCAAGAAATGGAGTTTCAAAACATTAAATTTTCAAAACCAAATCTGTGGAAATTTCTCTAAAAAAATGGAAATGGAGGTCTTCGAGTGAGCGAGTTAAATCGCTAGACGACACCCAGTCTGGCGTAGTCCTTTGATAACACCCAGGGGGTTGAATGGGCGTCACAGTTTCTGCGGTTTAATTCGAGATTGCTCTATTTTGAAGTGGATTGCGGGCCTTTTTTTTTTCAAAATGCTGATACGGGTGATTTCTTTCAGAGTTCACTCCCGCACAAATATAACAGGAAATGAAAGATAGGAAAAGAAGGAAAGACATGTATGCTTTACTTTAATTCGAGTTTCATACATCTTGGAGAATTGTAATCAATTTTACAGATTTTTTAAAGCACTCTGGTCTGGACGCTTTCCGCGCCTTCAGTCGAAAAGTCCTAATGAATAGCGCCCTCTGTTTTTTACGTTTATAAAATGTACTAAAGTAGAGGGCGTTGTTTATAATTTCTTCACATTTTGTTGCCTCCCGATGAGACGATTTGTTTTGTCTATGCTGTCCCCTGCTTTCATTTTTATTTTATTTCAATTATGACCCATGATGAGAGATTAGAAAGAGTATGTGGTAACCATGTAATCCCCTGGTAACATGGAATCTAAGAGCATTTTTCCATTGATATCCAATAGACCATTCAGGACCTGCATTGTTATTCCTCGTGATTCATTTCGTGTTAATGGTTGTAGTTACTTACTTTTACCTACTTAATAAGTCTAGTCGTAACTGGCGTTTGTGACATTGTCACTATGTTCGTTTGTCGGAGATACAGCTTATTCAAACAGGGGTTTTAACGTAAGTGCTTCTATTTTTCCCCGATTCATTGGCCTCCGGTTTACGCTCAAGCACCTATACATAAAAACGTTGAAACTATTTTTTTTAATCGAATTTCCACCTTGATGTTTCTTCTACTTCGCCATTGTCGTAGTTTCTGGAACCTAAGGATGGCCGCCAGAAGTACAGAAACCAAAAAATAGGGTAATAATAATAATAAGTCACGCCTTTTTCCTTTTAATTAATAAATAAACGAAATTAAAAAAACGTTACTCACCTATCTAATCACTACATAATGAATGCAGCTTAGCACTAAATGAAAATGCATCCCTCTTCAACACCAGTACAGCAAAAATTTACATATTTAGGCAAACGCTGTTGCCATACAAAATTGGGGTCGATTGTTGTGAAGTTGAAGCACACGTGGCCATGTTAACACGCTGGATGGCCCTATGCAAAAGTGTTACGAATGGAGAAACACCCGTCTTCAACTTTCCACGAGTAACACTGCGTCCTCTACACAATTTTGTTTTCTCTGCATTACTTGGCTGTTAAAATCACGCAAGAGCTCCGTCTATTTGGTGGCCGAAGCCAAGTCATTCAGAGCTGGCCTTTGCTCCAGCCGCCTGTGTAATCACTGGTAACAGTTACTATTTAAACAAAGGAATACCGCCCTCTTGTGGTGGCGGCTCAGATCCTCCTGTTCTCTTTGTAGGCCTACTTCACGTATAAGAAGAGTAGAATTTGAGTCTTGGTACATTGTCTACAGTTAATTTTTAAAAATCTCATTCAAAATAATCATATTTAGTATTTCACTAAACAATTGTCGCAAGAACTTCAGATTGTTGATAAGAACGTGATTTCCAAACTTATATCAGTGCGTTGTTCGTAAATGATTTTCAATAATAGATATGTGCCTGCAAAATCATTGCAATGTACTTGTACAGAAAACGAAAAGCAAATGAAGTTAGTAAGCCTTTCTCAGATATCTTGTTTAGAAGCAACTTTTGGGCTCACAATTTGAGGAGAAAGACTTATGAAGATCACAGCAACAGTTGTCCGGCGAAAAGCATGAACTATTTTTAATGTTCAAAAAAAGCACTTCTTAACACATTTAAACTAGAAGGGGTAACAGTTTTCGCACACGGGAGAGGAGTATAAAGATAAACGCAAAAAGAGCCTTCCAGATATCTGGCTTTCATTTGGACACCACTTTTGTGAAAGTGAGAGTTTTACCGAGACAAGTTAGCCAAAATGTTAACTGTTCCCTTTGACATGCTGAATGCACGCAAGCCGACACTTTAGCTTACAACAAAACAAATAGTCAGCCTGAATTGAAATATCATAGATGCGTTTCCATACAGATTCTCTATGTGCCTTCCAAGTTTTAAAAAGATCGGGCGTGGAACACCAAACCGAATTCATGCCCCTCCCCCGAAGTGGGATTGTCAGAGGAACCCGGCTCATTTAGTGTTTAGTCAGACAAATGAACGTGCGCGCAAAGAAAAAGAAAAAAAACGTGGTAATTTGTACAAGAATTTAAGCTCGGTGACATCAGATGTCATGTAGTTATTGTATTGACATGCATTAGGTGCCCGCCGTACATGTAGCCTACATTTGATGCAAACTATGGGACAGAGAGAACCCCCCCCCCGGCGCCTTTTTGTTGGTCGTTGTTATACTGGTATCTCAGGAATTCTTTTCAGACATGGGGGGGTGTTAAGTAACAATAAGCCAGAGTGTGTATAAGGAGTGTACTTGGGGGGTACCCCTATGCGTCCCATTTCGTGCCTGGTACACCGCCTTGATTGGGGTATTACCACTGTGTTTTTCGTGACTGTGACCGCGTGTTATTTGCTGGCACGAGGTCAAATATGCCTGTTTGGAAGGACCTCTACACTTGCTTTCCAAGCCTTACCATGTCCTTTCCAGCGGCGAAATCTGCTCGAATCAGGCAAAATTAACATCGTCATATTCAATCGTTCTAGTGTGCGATCTGCCTGTTTGCGATCAATAACTGATGACATGGATTTTCAGCTTTGTTTTCCAATTTGTGATTAATTTTCTGTCTTTTATTATACAGTACTAAAACCGTTCACTATTATAAGTTGGAATATAATGCACGAATGTTGAAAACTCCACTTTATTATTATTTTTGGAATTATTGTTTTGCAGTATTGTTTTTGGAAATATAGCAACTTCCTTTTGACATCCAGTCAGTAAATTCCACAAACATGGTAAGCGATCCCGAATAAGCACTTTTTCCCGTTAAAATGAATTCATTTCATAACCGAGAACAGATTCACGGGTATGTGTGAATTTGGTTTTGATTTAAGGGGCCAATTATGCCAGTCGTCGTGTTCCAGTAGTATACTTTACATAGCTATTCTCCGAACTAGTTTGCGCATAATAAATACCTGGGATATCATGTAACGTTAATTTCGACATGCTGGTTTTCTCGCAGCATGAAATTGTCTATAATTGTGTCTGGAATGGTCTTTGTGTCTGGATTCAGCGAATTTTAGAGTTTCACTTCGTTTGCGGGAAAGTAAATGCACTTTCAAGTGAAATCGACAAAGCGGCCTGGAATTCGGCCTTTTTCTCTCCACTTCGCACAGTTTACAGTCACTTTCGCTGTTAGTTTTAATTTTGAGTTAACACAGTTTCATCTCCGTCATGTGATCGATATAATTGAAACTGCACCGGTTCCCAGTCAAAAATGAAAACGAAAGAACTCGTTCTTTCACAGGACTCAAATGCAATCACGTGATTCACAATAATTACAGATAGTTTGGAATCAAGTCATGCGCGTGGTGACGTCAGTCTATACATAGAGCGAACTATGATCCGTGCATTCGGAGTTCCGAAACAAATAATCACGCGACCCACTCGTGCATGCGTACTTGCTCCCATAATTGCTCTCAAATCATAGTATAAACCACGGTCAAGTAACACACGTTTAGCACATTTCTTCTTCGTTGGGTGTGTGATTGCGTGTGTTACACCTGAAACTTGCATTTATCTGTAGTTGATGGAAAAAAATTATTGCTGTTTTTAAAAACGGCTTAATTGCTATTTCTAAAAACGGATTTATTGCTGTTTTGTGAAGATGTCAAAGTAAATGCTATGAAAAGACGGAAGACTCTCTTCATTCAGCTTGGATTGCCGTTGTTGGCGTTTAGCGGTGAACTAAAGTGACGAAGTGATCGGAAGCCGTAAAAAGTTCAGTCAAACATGAACAAATTGATCAAGAAATTAGCAAAAAGAAAGCAAAACGATTGCCTTGTAAATCTATCAGTGATCAGTGTCGTTTTTATTCAGTGTTAACTCATCAGAATCATGCACACGTAAAGGTTACTTCTATGAAATATAACAAAATCTTCCAAATCACATCACATCATTTGGAAAATAAAAGAGAACATCTGGAACAGTGTCTCTCCGTCAGACTTGCTTATGGAGGCCAAGGGTGAAACATGCAAGCACCTTTTGCCAAGTAACAGAAGGATCGCGTTCGGGGAACTTACAGAGTGTGCATCTTAAAGGGGACAGCAAAGGTCCAGGCCAGTAAGATGACGATGACGCATTGCTCGGGATAACCCCAGGAACTTTAGGTGTTGTTCAGTATTCGTCCCGCTGCGACCTGGCTGACTCTTTAACCAAATGATGGCGCGCCTAACACGGCCAGCAATTTGTCATTGTCAAGTGTCAAGTTCATGGAACTCGAAAGTGTTGTCAGTTTACAAACCTATTGGCTTATCCACCGTTGTGCCCAGTGTGCCCCTTCTCTCAATCTTTGCTCTGCCATTTTCGAGCATTGGGACTTTATTTTTGGTTTTCGTGCCCACATAAGTTTCCATATTTGTGAAAAGAGTTACGTCATTTCTGCTTTCAAGAACTAAACTTCCGTGTCGCAGTTGTTTCCAGCATCAGTAGTCGCAGGAATTATGGAGGGAGGTTTACTGCGATCAGTTTCCACGTGTCTAGTGTTTCACTATTGATTCATTACCCGAGAGCTAATGAGCAAACTTCTTCAAGTAAACACATGCATTGCTTCCATCCAGTGAGCTACAATTTTTTCCATCAATCCTTGAACCAAAATACCCATGCTTCAAGCAAGTTATGCTGAAAATTGTGAGGGACAACGTGACAGTTTTACATAAATAATGATAATAAAGGAACCTGAGATGTCTTATTCTTTGCAATACTGTTTAAGGGAAATG